ATCCTGGGCTGTTTGGGGAGGGGTGGATGCATGGACAGCATCCTGGGCTGTCAGAGTGAGCACAGCCAGGAGATGGAGAGAAGTGATGGTGTCTCTTGGCATTTGTTAGAGACCCCATCAAGAGCATTCTGTGCAGTTTGGGCTCACCCAGCACAAGTCAAGGATGGATCAGTTGGAGATGATGGATCAGTTCCTAGCAGAGAGCTGCTAGGAACAGGAAGCTCAGGAGAACTGGCCCAGTGAGCAGAGGCTGAAGGAGCTGGGCTTGGTTAGCCTGGAGAAGGGAAGACTATGGGGGACCCAAGAGCGGCCTGACAACACTGACCAAAATGTTACCAAAGGATAAACAGGATCTTTACAGAAGTGCATGAAACTCAAATAAGAGGTCCTAACAGGATATAAGGAAAAACATCTTCTTGATCTGACTCGGATCAGTCACATGTTATTGGTGTCCTTTGCCCAGAGAGGCTGAGCAGTGCCCATCCTTGGGAAACTCCAGGATGTGACTGGATAAAGCCCAGAGCAGCTGTGTCAGTCTGTCCCTGAGTGTATCTGTCCTGAGCTCCCTTCCCAGATGGATTATTTTGTGGCTCTCAAAAAGCTGTTTAATGGATTAAAAGCAATCAGTTGGTACTGGGGAGCTGATAGGGCTCTTCTCCACGTAACCAGTGACAGGACAAGAGGAAATGGCTTCAGGTTGTGCCAGGGGAGGCTCAGGTTGGGTATTAGGGAAAATTTCTTCACTGAAAGGGTGGCCAGGTGTTGACACAGGCTGCCCAGGCAGTGGTGGAATCACTGTCCCTTAAAGTGTTCAAAAAAATGTGCATGTGGCACTTGAGGACATGGGTTAGTGGTGGCCTTGGCAGTGCTGGGGGAACAATTGGACTGATGCTCTAAAAGGCTTTTTCCAACCTTAACGATTCTGTGATTTCATGAAATAGTGTCTGATGGCTGGTTAACCAGGCTCCTGTTTAATTAATTTCATTTAGAGTAACTTTGCCTTCCAAAATGCCTGTTACACCTGTAATCATTTCAGTTCACAAACCTTAAACCAGGTGCTGCCCCAGCCCTGTTTCCTGAGGAGTGGCTGCACTGGGCACTGTGTGTGCTCTGCTGTTCCCCCTGAGCTGGCAGCACCCACACCAAGCCCCCCTGCCTGCTGGTGCAGATGGGGGTGCTCCCTAACCCCCCTGTGCCCTGCAGGGACACCTACAGCGACCGCAGCGGCAGCAGCTCCCCCGACCTGGAGATCACCGAGCTCAAGTTCCCCTCAGTGAATCACGACTGATCCCTGGTAATGTTTAGTGATCTCAGCCTCTTCCTTGGGGAGAAAATTACTTGCCCAGTCTTTTCTCCTGGCATCTGACTCTGAAATTTGGAAGGCTGGCACGCCAGGGGTGTGCTGGTGCTCACGTGTTCCAGCTGTGCTGAGGGCTGGGCTGTGCCCCTGTGCAACACATGGGGGTGGTGTTCCCTTAGCAAACTGACACATCGTGAAGTATAAATACACAGGCAGGGGTTTGGGATGAAATTCAGGTTAAGAACCAGAGCACCACTGGAGCACATGCTCCTGAAAATGGGGGCAGAACTGAGCAAGGGCTTCCTGGATTTGGGAAGCTCAGTATTTTGGGAGCAGTCTCTCACTGATGTCAGAGAATGTCTTGGAAGTAGCCATCCTGCCCATCTTCTGGGACAGCAGTCCCTGTCACACCAGAGGCTCGAGCTCTGGTCTGTAATGGCTGCAGATGTGAAAAATGGATGTACAAGGAGGGGACACTGAAATCTGGCACTCAGACTGCACCAGCAGAACAGGCAGACTCAGATGTTAAGGGAGTTCTCCCTCTGTGCAGCAGATGATCAGGGATGTGACCTTCTGCTCTGGCTGGTTTGTGTGCTGGCTTTGGAGGAGTTGAGCAGCATCTTTGGGGTGAGAGCAGGGCCCCACTGCTGAGTGCCAGGGGACCCTCCTCTCCCTTGCCTTGGTCTAACAGGCACTTCCAGAGCTCACTGCAGAGGGAAAACAGAGTCAGCCCCTGTGTGGCACAGGAGTGCTCCCCACCACTGGGCACAGGATTGGGACGGGATGCTGGGATCACTGGGTACTGGGCTGTTCCACAGCCTGGTACAACACTTCAGAGCTGAAGAATTCTCCCTGTAAATTTTTATCCTAAAGATGCTCTGAACCTTTGGCTCCCTGACAGCATCCCATGTGCTCTGGAGGCTTGGGGACTGCCCGGGTGAAGCTGTAGGAGAGGGGCAGTGGCAGTGTGGGTATCCCCAGGGACACGTCTCAGCCTGACTCCAGTGCTGTGCAGCTCCAGCCTGTGGCTCTGGGCCATCAGTAACTCCTGCTCTTTTTCTCTCTCCTCTCCAGGTGTGTCCCTGCTGCAGAGAGGAGTCTCTGGTTCTCCAGGCATTCTTACAGCAATAGCTTCAACACCCTCAGCTTTGGGCTTTCCTGACTTCTTACGGGTTTATAATTTTCATTCTGAGATCCTGTCCCTTATTTCCTCAGCTCTTCTGTCCTTCCTTTATCTTCCATGTAGATCCTGCTTCTTTGTGGAGGAGAGTTCACACAGACTCCTCCATTTCCTTCAGTTCCTTCAGTTTGCACCAGCTTGGAGAACAAAGCAAACTGTGGGCTCTGATGTGTGTGGGGGAATCCCATGGCACACGTCCTTCCCAGCACAGGGAATGCTGGCATCAGGGTGCCTTGGACACTGACAGTGGAGTTGCTTTCTCCAGCCTTTCTGCTTCCTCCTTGCTCTTTACTTACTGGTGAAATGATGTGGACGGCACAAGTTTTGGGGTTTGGCTCAGTGCCTGGGCCGGGCTGCGCTGCAGAGGAGGGCTCTGGGCAGCTGCATGCAGCCTTTCTGTGGGTTTTTCTGGGGGGGGGGGAAAGAAGGATGATTTTTTCTTTTTTTTCCTTTTTTTTTCCGTGGTATTTCCAAACCTTTGGCATTGGTGCTCTCGGTGCATTCGTTGCCACAATGAATTTGTAACCAGGAACATTCTCCTGGAATAGTGTTACTCTGGAACACGGTCAGCTCTGCCTGACGTGTCACTGCAGGGATGTGATTAACTGGGATCAGGTTGGGGGGGGGTGGAAAGCAAAGCTGCCAGGAAAGCCCTGACCCAAGGGGTCCGTGCTCCTGGAGCTGCTCCTTGGGCTGGGACACTCCAACCCCTTGCATCAAGGGGGAGGTGTACAGTGAACCACTGAACCACTTCCACTGCTGCCTTGAGCTGCTCCTGCTGTCCCTGGCCTTGGACACAACAGTTCCTGGTGCTTTTTCATGGATTGGAAGCAGAGCCTTCCATTGCCTTTCTGTACAGTCGGAGCCGTGTGTCCTGTGCTCCCGCCTTCCCAAGGGCTGTTCTGAGGGAGGGCGTTCCCCACCCCCGGTGCTGCCCGGCTGGGGTGCTGGGCGTTGCCGTGCAGTGCTGGGGGATGCCCTCCCTGGTTCCCTGCTCGTGCTGCTGTGGAACACCGTGTTTGGCTGTTGGGGATCGAGAGGAGAGGAAGGGATGAAGAGTTTCCACTGTCTGAGGTGCCACGCGCTCAGAACTCGGCAGGGTGCGGGAGTTGGGGGAGAGCTGCACAGTCAGACCTGGCTGAGCCACGTAACTAAACCCTGCCCTGTCCCTCCTCGCTGATCTCCTCCCCTTGCTTTAGTCCTCAGTTGTTTTCAATATTCCCTGTAAAGCTGCTGTGAACCCGGAGAGCTTTGGGCATTCTTCGTGTGCCAGTTCCAGCTCTTCTGGAGGAATGATTGCGTTTGATGCTCTGGTACTGCCCAGCCCCTGCCCTTGGCGTGGGGCAGGGTGAGATTGTTCCTCAGCTGCAGCACAACTGTTGTTTTCTTTCTCCTGAGATGTTTTTGTTTTGGCCAAAACTGTGCCACTGACTCGGTCATTAAACGCTCATTTGTAACGAACTGCACAGGAGCCCCGAGCTCGTTCTGTTCCTGCCCTGCTCGGAGGGAGGGAGGGAGAAGGGATTGAGGTACAACTCAAATGAGTCCTAAGTCAGGGAAAATCTGTGAACTGCATTCGCAGTGGTTTTAGATGTGGATTTCCGAGGTGGAGCTTCCGTCCAGCAGCAGAGAAACCTGGGGAACCTGTGCTGAGCCTGCATATGAGTCAGTTCCTAATGGAAGAGCGAGGCAGGGTTTGTCCCTTCTTCCCCCGCAGCTGGGATTGTTGGCCAGACACCCCAGCAGGGCTCCTGTTGTGGGGAGAGGGCCGGCCCCCAGGCAGCCCTGAGCCCCCCGGGCAGGGGCAGTGCACCCAGGGGGTGGGGGCTCTGCCGTGGTGCTGTGCAGGACCAGCCCTGCTGTGGGGTCTGCCCGGGCCCCCTCTGGCCCCTCCCGTGGGACGGAGCAGCCCCTGAGGGCCCACAGGGGCTCCGGGCCGTGCCCAGGTGAGGGGGCCAGGCCATGGCACTGCTGTGCTGGGGAGCACAGCGGGGGCTCGGAGCTCACTGTCCCCCCCCTTCTCCTCCCTCCCCCGGGGACTGAGAGCTCATTGTCCCCCCTTCTCCCTGCCCCGTGTGGCTGCAGGTGCTGTCGGCCCACGCCGCTGCCTCAGGGCCCTGCGGGGCAGGGCTGAGCTGTGCTGGCAGCGATGGCTTCAGCGGCTCGGCCGGGGCTGCTCCTGCCCTGACACCCCCCTCAAGCTCCAGGCAGGAACAAGGAACTGCAGCAGTCCCTGCCAGCACCGCGGAGAGCGAGAGGGGGACCAGCCTGGGGGGACGAAGGGGCTGGGCGGAGATCGGGAGGACACGATGTCATCCCTTCGCCACCCTGCGAGTGTCGCTCCGCTCCCCTCGGCTCCGGAGGCAGGGCAGGCGGGCAGGGCAGGTGGGCAGGGAGGGAGGGCAGGAGAGGCAGCCGCGGGTCTGTCCTGCAGCAGCACCCACTGCCTGTCCCTTCGCCCCCCCCGGCAGGTGCCTGTGGGAGCCACTGCAGGGCCCAGCCCAGAGCACAAACAGCGGGGAGGAACTTGGTATCCTTTTATTTATAAACAAATCAAGGTAAAATAAGTGCAGAGGAAAGCACTGGCTTACCCTGCCAGGCCCCGGGTGCAGCGGGACCAGCGCGGGTCACACCGAGGGGTGTCCCAGCACAGGCTGCGCTCTGTCACAAAGAGCCTTTTGCCTTCTCAGTACTTTGGGGGTTGGGGGATTTTTTTTTTTTTTTTCAACTTTGCCCCTTAGGGGTAAACCTGACCCAGTGCAAGAGCCTGGAGGGTTGGTCACCGCGGGGGCCCCTCGAGGCTGGCGGGGGGGCCTGAGCTGCGGCTCTGGATGCAGGGGGTGAGCGGAGGGCACGAGGAGCAAGTGCTTGGAGTGGAGATCCCGTCCCAGCCCTTCGGTCCCTGCAGGGGCAGCCTGTGCACGTGTGGGTCGGTGCTGGGGGTGTGTGGGGACACAGCAGGGTCAGCCCTCGCCTGCCCCTCCAGCCCTGCCCCAGCTCAGCCCGCTCGGGGGTCCAGGCAGCCCCTGCCCCACAGGCAGCCCCGAGCTGGCAGCTGCTGCCCCGGGACACGGCGGTGGCACAGCCCGTGGCCTCCACACTCCTCTTGCAGCTGCAGGAACGTGTCTGGGACCGTAGGAACTGCTCAAGTGCCATCAAAAATAAATACATTAAACTGCCTGAGACCAACAGGGGCCCGGGGCAGGACAAAGCCCTCACAGGAAGAGCAACATCGGGGTGGGTCCCCAGGATCCTCTGGGAAGACCCAAAACCCTCTCAACACGCTGAGCTGGGACGGACCAAAACTCTAGAGGAGCAGGAGTGCCCCTGGGAAGACAAACCTTGGCAGCTCTGGCTAAAAATCACCAAGAGTTGCGAGTTCAACATAGGTAGAAAAATCATCTCATCGCTTTAAACACACAACTCCTTAGTAAAAAAAAAATCCCAAAAGAGAAAATTAAAAAAAAAAAGGCGAGAAGGATCAGCCGAGTCCTGCAGCATCCAGGCAGCTCCAACCCATGCCAGGGGCACCCCAGCCCCGCTCCCCGGCTCTCCCAGCTCACTCCACGCTCTCAGCCAAGGCCGTGTGGCCTTTCCAGTCTGGAATAAATATGGAGGCCTCCACCCCCAGCCTGGTGTGCCCAGCTGGAGCTGGGCTGGAAGCCAGGGGCAGGCAGAGCTCAGGGGGTGAGTGGCCCGCGGGCTCCCCACGGGTGTGGAAGGCAGGGACGGGGTGGTCGATGCTCCGAGCTCGCTGTGGTGCCGCAGGGCTGAGCCCAGTCAGGGGCACGGCCCCACTGCAGCCCCGTCCAGCCCCCCATGCCCCGAGCAGGTGACAGGGAGGAGAGGTGGTGCGAGTGCCCAGTCCCCACAGACACTGCCCAGAGCTGCTGCTCCATCCCAGGCAAGCAGGACCGGGAGCCCACGGAGGAGTGCTGGGAAAGACCCTCTGCTTCCAACAGGACACCCATGGCTCGAGGCTGGTGTGAAGCCCAACTGTGCCAGGCTCCCTCCCGGGGAGGGCCGGGCTGTCAGCGAGGTGTCCGTCTGTCCGTCTGTCCGTCTGTCCGCGGTGTAAATGGGGTGTGTGCATGCGAACCTGTTGGCAGGTGAGCGCGGGTGGGGGTGGCCAGGAGCGGAGCTTCCGGGATCTGTCCTGTCAAGTGTCCTCTCAGAACTTGCCTTGCTTTAGCTTGTCGATGTGGTAAGTGAGCTTCAGGGCTGGCCCCAGCTTCAGCCCCATGTACTTCATCATCATGTCACTCCGCAGCAGGAGCAGGGCCTTCCCGTCGATCTCCTGCACGGAGGGAAACAACAGCGCTTGTGGCGGCCCCTGGAAGCCCCATCCCTGCCCACTGAGCCAGGCCAAGAGGCAGCAGCAGGGCTGGGGGTGAGCCCTGCTCAGCAGCATCCCAGCAGGGACATCTCAGCGTGGCCAGCACTGCATCCACCCTGCTCCAGCACAGGGCTCAGCCCCACAGCCCACGTGCGGCAGGAAATCTGCTGGGGGATCAACACCCAGGAGCCTTGGCCAGAGGGGCAGCAAATCCTGAAGGGAGGTAGGGAGGGAAGAAAAGGGAGGTTTTGCTGACAGGGGAACGATGGAGGCAGGGGAGCGGTCCCTCACTCCAGGGCACTGTCACCCCAGCACAGGAGCAATGGTGACAACAGCCCTGCCACGACACAGCCCTGAGGCACAGATGAAGATGGAGGTGAGGGAACAGTCCCGAAACTCAAAGAGCCTGCACTATGTGATTGGTTATTAGGAAAAATTTCTTCCCTGAAAGGGTGGTCAGGTACTGGCACAGCTGCCCAGGGTAGTGGTGAAATCACCAGCACTGGAAGTGTTCAAAACACATGTGGATGTGGCATGTCCCACCTGAGGCTCAGGAGGGGATGGATCATGAGCTTAGAATAACCAGGGAACAGCTCTGTCCTTGGCATCTGCAAGTGGAAGTCTCCCAGTCCCTCTCAGTGCTCCTTTCCATGACCCAGTCCAGGCTGGGGCCAGAGCTTTGCACTGGACAGTTTTCCATGAAAAAATGTTAATGGACTTAAAGAAGAAAAATAAAAATCACCACCTCAAGCAACAGAACATCCTGTCCTATGTCAGTGCCCAGTGAGGTTTCTGCCTGATGAGACCTCCAGGGATCTCCAGTACCAGGTTTGAGCTGGTTTTCCCTTCTGCAGATAAAAGCAAGGTTCTCCCCAGGACTGCCAATCCAGGGCACTTCCAACCCTTGACAGCTTTTGCATAATTAAAACAAACATTTTTCAATTACTGGTGGTTTGAAAATAGAACTAATTAAAAAAAGGAGTGTTGTGTCAGCACAGCCCAGAGCAGGATGCAGCACTGGGTGTTTGCTCCCAGTGCTCTTCTGACTTCCCAAGCAGCACCAGATAGAACAGGGACTCAATCAAAACAGTTCTGGCAGGAATCAGGACATGGAGCTGCCAAACCTCTCGTAGCTTTAATGGTACAAACTCCACACTGTGTCTGCAGCTGTTTTACACTTACAGATGTGCACAAGGAGCAGAGCCTTAGGGGACTCCCTGATACAGGAAACGGAGTTGAGCAGCGAAGCACTCCGTGAATCCCACTTGGAATGTGTTTCTTGACAAGGGAATTTGCCATGAGGTGAGTTATCAGGCTCCAGGGCAAGCAGGGTCTGTGTTTTCAGCACCAGGATTCAAACACACCCAGGTTGCCAGGTCTGCCCCTGGAGGGGTCTGAGTGAGGATCCCAGTCCTGGACAGGGGATGAGCAGGATTTATGAGGATATTTTTATTAAGCACAGAACTCCAGCTGGTCCAAAGTGCTGCCATTTTCTGACTCTCCTGCGTTTTCCTTGTGCGCTGATTTCCCCCTCCCACAGGTGACACACGTGTTCACACAGACACTCACGTGTTTCCGGAACAGGTCCGCGTGGGGGCCCAGCTGAGGGTCGGACTCGCGGATGAACTGCATCACCTCCTCCACCGTCCAGGACGAGGGGTCGCGGCTGCTCAGCCGGGGCCCGTCCCGAGAGCCGAGGTACCTGTCGGACCCTGGGGGTGCAGACAGGGCTGTTACTGCAGCTGTCCCACAGCCACTGCCCCTCAACCCACCACTCAGCCTCCTCTCCCACAGCAAGGGCAGAGACACAGCAAGGATCACATCCCAGTCAGGCCCCATATTCCTGCAGCGCAGGTCTGGCACAGGAGCCGTGTTCCCTCTCCTTTTCAGGGCAGCCTTCTACACTGAGCCCTTTTCCTCCATCTCAACCCCAATTTCCCCTTGTTTGCCCCCCCCTTCCCACTCCTCCTCGCCTGTCAGCTGACAGCTCCCACCTCTGCAGAACACCCTCCCCACTCCCACGTCTCTCCCCACACATGGTTCCTCCCCCACTCCCAACACCTTCAGCACATTTAACACAGCAAAGCTGGTAAAAGTTTTCATTTTCTGACAGGTTGAGCCCACAGGTGACGTCCTGTTGTCCCGAAGCATAGCCCGAGCTGACACAAGTCCTGTTCCCAACGTTCTGGCATCAGCACAGCCCCTTGTCCCACCTCTGCCCTCACACACAGGTGGGGGGGAGCCACCAACAGCCTGAGCTTTGGAGAGGATCTTACTGACACCTTGCACTTAAAATCACACTTTTTGCAACCTGATGTGCTGCAGTGACCAGCTCAGCTCTCCTACCCCTGTCCCTCCGCACAGACACGTGCTGTTCACACACCCCACCCTCCCACCCCCTCTCAGCTCCAGACTCTCCAAGCAGCTCTTGACTCCCCAGCCATTCCCCATCCATCCTCATGGACCCACATGCCCATTTGGACACAGTTCAGCTCCTGCCTGCTCCTTCCTCTCCACCAACCTCCGGGTCCCCCCCGTCACCAGCCACAGGAGCAGCGTCACTGTCCACACTGCCACCCGCCCAGGTGCCATCACACCTCGCGGAGCTGGTGGGCTGTGCAGAGCCCAGTCTGGTACTTGCTGAAGTCAGAAAGGTGTAACTGGAGTTAGGAAGGCCCTCTCTTGCCATTGTGCAGCTGCAGGGCTGTTCTGAGCTCTTACCCCCAGAGCTAAGCCTGCGCAGGGCAGAGCTGCTGCCCTGGCTGAGGCTCGAGGGTTGGTGCAGGTGCCTGTATCCTGGCAGGTGATAGTCTCTGGAGCTCCTGCTGTGGCTGGAGGAATTGACAGAGTTCAAGGCAGAGTCCATAGGGTCCAGGCGAGGCTCCAAGGGCCCTGGGAGGCCATCTCCCAGGACAAAGGTTTCACCTGGAACGCACCAAGCTGCAGTCAGTGCACCCGCACGCCACGGCCCGACGCTCCCGCTCGGGGGCAGAACTGCAGCACTCCCTGGGTCTGACCCCTCTCACCGGGCTCCTGCACAGCACAGGGATCAAACCAGGCACCGCCTGCTGTTCACCTGGCAAATGCCCGTCCAGCTAGTGACAATGGTCAGTGCCCAGCCTGGGACAGCAGCTCCTCTGCTCGTGCCACCACCAGCTCTGGCCCAGCCCTGTGCCCTGATGGCTCTGGGCCCTCCATAGCAGGCCTGATCCATCTGGATGCCAACAGACACAGCACTCACACACAGCCCTGAGCAGGGAGGGGACAGGAGGTTCCCTGAGGGATCCTGGAGGGCAGCACCACATGCAGGGCAGGAGGGGCTGCACTCTCATGGCCAGGCAATGCTCCCATGCCGTGCTGGTCCTCCAGCCCCAGAAGCAACATGCTGGTGACCAGCTGCTCATTCCTCCTGCCCTTTTCCAGCCTAACCACTTGGGAGACCAACTCCCTGTGCTGGCACATGCACAGCAGGGACTGGGCTGAGGGTTCTCTCCAGGCAGGGTCCCAGGGCAACAGCAGCTTCCTCACCTTCTCTAGAAATGCACTGAATTTCCAGCTGTCCATGGCACTATTGGGAAGGAAAGGCTGAGGGGACTATCCAGGGTTCTATCTGAGCCAGCAAGACCTGCCCTGCTGTTACACTGTGACAGTTTCACATCAGGGCCACCGGTCTGTAGGTTTTACTGGCACAACCAAGTCTCAGCCCACGTGGCCCTTGAGCCTCCTGAGTCATCCTTCAAATACCTGCATTCTTTACTTGAATTACCTGGCAAGTTCCTGCATCAAGCAGGAAAGCAGCTCCCACACTGAGGGGCAGTGCCTGTGCACTCCAGGGCCAGCACACCGGGCTGGGGCTGCAGCTCCTCTAGCAGGGTCTGCAGAGACCCCGAGGGCAGCTCACAGCCCTGAGCTGCTGCCACTCAACACACAGCAGGTGACAAGGGGCAAGAAACCAGAGCCACTGCTCTGGCCAGGCCCTGGGTTTGCTCCCTGGGTCTTCCCAGAGCACAGGAGCAGCAGGTGAGAAGCCAGCACAGCAAAGCTGTCCTGAACTGGGTTGGTGGTGAGGATGCAGAGTTGATACTGCAGAGTTGATACTGCAGTCTGTGAGAGCCAGAAGCTGTTGAATTTTCCCAAATTCCCTGCTGACACGATGGTGCCAGGCTCCAGCAAAGGGAGGTGCAGAGCCTGAGCCTAACCCTGAGTGCTGCTGACACACAGTCCCACCTGACTGCAGCAGCCTCTCCTGAAGGCACCTTATTTGCTGTGGTTTCATGAACTGTGGGACTGCTGTGTGAGCTGCAATCCTCTGGTCTCAGTGTTCTGGTCTGTGTTTGAGCAGAGATCCCAGAGTCAGTTCAGCTGGAAATACCCAGCCCTGAACTTCCAGAGCTTCAGCTCCTAAGGGAACCCCCTTGTCTGGCTGTTGGCCAGTTTGGTGAGGCCAGTGGGAGGTTATCACCTGGGTAACTGCTGTTCTTCCACCTCGGGGGCTTTGTCACTCTGCACTTGAAGCACTCCTGCCTCTTTTAGCTTTAGGTCTCTGGGACATATCCCAAAACAGCAGCACAGCCCTGAAGTCTCACCTAGAAACTGCTGGTGTTAAGACTGTACCCCCCTGGTGACCTGTCCTGTGTCACTCACTTCCCACGTGGGCAGATGTGTTCTCACCTGCTCTCAGTGCATAAAAGGTGTTTTTATGACTCATGGCTTTTCCTGAATAAGTGTGAACCCCTCCTGCACTCCCACCATCCCATTTCAGCTCCTGGCTGGACACAAACCCAGCACAGAGATGGCTGCTCTGGCCCAGGGGTGGGTGCAGATCCCCAGCCAGACCCATCACTGGCTGTCCCTTACACCAGGGGGTCTCCACTAGAGCTGCTTCTGAGGAGACAGTTGGTCTCCTCTTCAACAGGACAGTTCTGCTTAAACCCCAAACCACTTCCCAATAAACATCTGGGAGAAGGTGCTGTCTGACTGCCAGGGAAGGGCAGAGGCAAGAGAGGGGTCGGTGGGCACGGTCCTGAGCACTGCCAGAGCAGCTGGGGCATGGGAACAGCTCCCTGCTGCACATCTCCACTCCCCAAGGAAACCCAGCCCCCCTGAGGTGCCACACAGCTTCAGCTGGGCAGGAAGCCCCAGGGCACTCACCCAGATGTGCTGGGTCAGGCACACACATCTCTAACTGCTCCCAGAAGTCAACAGAAGGCCCATCTTGGGAGCTTAGGAGAGCACACGCACAGGTTCATGTTGGTGCCATGCTGAGGATCCAAAACTCAACCCCAGAAAATACTTCACTCAACAATCAACACACTGATGTTATCCTGATGGGAATGTGATGCATTCTGCAGCTATGTGATCCTGTTCTCACAGGAACTGTGATCACACCCCCAGAGGCCAGGGGTGAGGCCAGGCCTGGGGGCAGCACGGTGCTTTGCCCAGGAGGCAGAAGTGAAGGTGCTCACTGACCCCAGGTTCCCTATCCCTGCACAGGGCAGTGTTGCTGGGCTGTGAACTCTGCAGCAGAGCTGGAGGCTTCCTGGCAGGGTCAATGCAAGAGAGACTGAGGGTCTTCTTAAAAACACAAGTACACAGAGAACTGCTCGGATGAACTGACATCTCTAGGAAGGGGAGAGGGAGATGAGGCAAGAGGGCAATGATTACTGTCCCTGTGAGTCATCTGCAGCAGAAAACAACGTGCCCGGGGGCATGGGCAGGGCAAGACTGTGCTCAGGCACGATCTAGGATCCTTCACCCTCCTCAACCAGCGTTGAAGGAGGGAGGAGGTGGTTGATTCTTAGGCAGATTTCCCTACACAAACTGCTAGACTTAACTAAAGGCTGGCAGTTGGCACGATGTAGGGAAACACACCACAATTAGTGGCGGAGAGGTAGGGAGCAGATAATTAAAGTTTAATTAAACAAATAGTGCTACAGACTCAACAGTGCCATTTTACTGCTGAAACACAGGAGTTTGGCCACAAGCACAAATCTGATTTGCACAACTACTGAACACCCACTGCTTCCAGCAAATGCTGGGCTGTGAAGGCAGGTCCCCACTGAGCTGGGACTGCAGCGTTTCAGCAAAAAGCAACACAAGTGCCACTGGATGCAAGAGGAAAAACAATGTAAGATGTGAGATCCCTTCCTCATCTCTCTGCTTTGCCAAAGGCATGGTGAGTGGGATATCCCACTGCTGCTCACAGCCTTCCATTTGGCAAACTGGGAAGCGTTCAGGGCCTGCTGTCTGTCACTCTGTTGAAACCAGAGAGAGTTCAGCCCCATGAGATGTACCTCTTGCTCAAGAAATATTCAATATCCAAGCACTTCAGGTGCATATTCTTAAAATATATCCTCTGAAATGCAAGTATTCCTGCCTGCACTTTGACTGCACGGTGGAGGAGGATATATTCATTCCAGCTTTTAGCTATGGGATAAGAATGACTTTCTAGGTGGAATTTGGAACTGCAGCTCGTTCCTCCCTGCTTGGACCAAGCACAGAACCAGACCAAGCTGCTGCAGGAAGGTCACACACTGACAGGATCACCCCCTCACACACAGACACACTTTCTGACCCACTCGTCTGTGTTTTTTGAAGAGGCTGGAGTATATTGCATCCAGATGGCACAACCCACTCAAAGGCCAAGGAATAACTGAATAGACTTTGAAGCAGACCAAGAATCAATCTCACAGACAAAGGTTCCTCCTTGGAATTACCCATTTTGGAAGGCTTCTCTATTCACTGACAGTGCAGAGTGTGCAATATTCACCACCCAGCTAAGGCACCTGAACCTTTGGAGCAGACCAGCACTTCCAGAACAGGCTGAACTGCGTGTCCCACCTGCTGGGGGAGGAGGAGGGGCTGGGCCATGCTAATGGTACCTCAGTGCAGTGGCTGATGGATCAGAGGGGAACGTCAAAGACACCAGCACGGATGTGTATTTGGAGGTGAGAAACAGAGGGGGCCTCAGGGAACAATTTCCAACTTGTCAATACGCTGGAATAGATGAGACAGTCCCCACATACCACCTTGGTCTTTGTTTCAGCTCTGTGACAAACCTACAGTTTTACTTACTGTAGATACTGAGGCCACTAAAAACCGTCCATCACAGAATCATAGAATGGTTTGGGTTGGAAGGGACTTTAAAGCTCATCTCATTCCCACCTCCTGCCATGGGCAGGGACACCTTCCAGTGGCCCAGGCTGCTCCAAGCCCTGTCCAATCTGGCCTTGGACACTTGCAGGGATGGGGCAGCCACAGCTTCTCTGGGCAACAGGGTGCAAGTTCAGACCAGCTGTGCTCAGTGACAGAGTCAGTGACCCTGCAGAGCACAGGACACTGTGATGGATGGAGACCAAAATCACCCACAGTGATGGCAGGCTGGGCACTCACACCTGGGATCAGCAACCCCAGCAAAGCCAGGGAAATGGGGATTCTAAAGGGACAGCAACAGAGCATGAAGCCATTGAACTGTGAGCCCACCCAGGAGTCTCCAGCACTTTTTCAGGAATGTATTACAAAGAATTGTGATTAACACCTTGGCAGATTTCACCATCCATTAATTAAAAGGCCTCAGTAAGATTAAATCTCCAGTCTGCATTATGGAGGGTTTGCAGTTCAGAACAGAAGTGGAAGGATTTTTACTAGAGGTTGCTCAGCTCAGGGAGCCCTCCAGCTACCTGGACCTCCTGGAAATCTCCCAGCTGCACATGCAAAAGACACCTGTGGATCAGACACCAAAGAGGACATTCCAGCAGTTGCTGGAATGTGGCCCAGCACACCAGTGCCATCCCAAGGGACTCTGTGGGAAGCAGCAGCAGGATGTGAATGATTTGGCTGAGCCAGTGGAGCACATGCCAGTGAGACCCCCAGCTATTTCAGGGAGGACTGTGAGGAACAAGATGAGATCCTGGGAAAGGGCAGCAGGTTCCTGGCTGTCCAGCTGCACATCAGCATCTGTACAACACACCCCAGCAAACCCTCAGGGAACAACCCAGGGCAGACTGACTGGAGCAGCTGGGCAGTTTAAGGATGTTAATGCCATGCATGGCCATGGAAGCCAAACCACGGGTGATTAAACCCCAAATTACACGGTATGAGAGGATGACTATCAGGGTTAGAAGGAATTCCCACTGCATTCCACATGCCTTACACATCCGTGTGGGGAACCTGCCTCGCCACAGAGCAGTTCCCTTCCCTCTGGAACACCAAGCACAACCCATGCCAGGGACAAGCAAAGCAGCTCCCTGAAGCCATGGCTCAGTCTGGCACGGCAGATGTGACCCTGCTGAGCCAGGACAGGGCACTGTCAACAGCCAGCTTTGGGAAGAGACGCTGTGCTCACCTTCCAAAGGGTGACGGTCATTCTTTGGTAACTTGGGGGAGAGAGGAGCAGTGTATGGAGGGGAATCTTGGGAATAGCGCTTTGTACCCCGGCCTGGTCCCTGCAGAGAGCCGTCTAACGAACTGCTTCTGTCTAGGAAGAGAGAACAAGCCCTATTTAGGAGTGGAGATGCCCTGGGAAATTCAGTCTTGCCAGAGTCCCTTGAGCTCTGCGTGCATTGCCAGCCCAGCACATCCGAGAGGGCTCAACAAGTGTTACAGAGAAAAAGGGTGGCGAGAAACCTAACAAAGAATCTTAGCCATGTTTTGCCACATTTTACCCCAAATATCATCCCTAGTTGACTTAGTTCCATTTCTCCTCGTTCTACCCCTTGGCTCATCCCACACAATTCCTGCTCGTCCCACTCTTCCCCTTTCAGACACACGTGACCCTTGGACAACTGGCAAACAACCCTGGGGTGATTTACACACCCTCTGTGCCAGACACAGTGCTGGATTAAACTCCACTCCAATTTTCCATCTTCCCCTCAGTGCACCCCCAGCTGTGGCTGCTGCTCCTCTCCCAGCACACCCCAAGGATGGGGCTCTCCGTGCCACAGGGGGATGTCGGGATGGGCTGGGACATCTCCTTGCACACACAGTGTCAGTGGGTGGATGGACACAGAATGGAAGTGCCAATACTGATGGGGACAGAGCCGGGTGAGTGACACAGGGGGTGGCAGACCATGTCCCAGCTGAGGTGACTCTCCAGCTGCCCCCTGCCCACTTGGGCCACCAGCTCCCAGGCCCCTTCCAGCTGCCCTGAGCACACGTGTGAGCCCACAGCACTCCGTGCTGGGCACAGTGGTGCAGTGTCACAGACAAGAGCCAGGAGCCAACACCAGCCCAGAGCAGCCCCCAGAGCTGGCACAGGGTGCAGGAGGGGGGACAGGCACGGCGGGGACCGACACTCAGGGAGATGCATCACACCCAACACACAGGGACAGGCGGGTGGGAGGCACCAGACGCACAAAGGTAGAGAAAAGGACCTGTTCTACCAATATCCTTCAGGGAAATGAAAGACAAGCTGCTTGCCCTGGGACTCCATGTGAGTATGACCAAAAATCGCTGTGACATTGTTAAAAAGACAAACTCCATCCTCAGGACAAGTCCCTGTAAGAAACATTCACTGCCCAGCAGAGATGGGAACAAATGCTCTTGGTAATGTCTCTGGATATCCCTGTGTCACCCAACCTTCTTCACCCAACAGCCACAGAACCACAACACGAGGTGATGCTTTGTAAAAGGTTTCATCAGGTTTTGGTTTGGGTTATTTATTTAAAGTGGTTGATGTTCAAAGTCATGCAAACACAGAACGTCAGGCTGTAGAAGACAATCCAGCAATCAGAAGTGAGGTTGGTGTAAATTAATGAAAGGATAACCCAAAAATAGAATTTTGCTTTTAAAGGAAAAATTTTAAGAAAATAAAGAAATGGAGTAAGATCCAGAGCTGTACTCAGCAGATCATCGGGAAAAAAACCCCACCTTCAGTTCAGGGATGCCATAAACATCATGGATGTGAATCATCTGAGAGGGAAGGACCCCAAATCTCAGTGGACAAAGGCTCACTTTGAGAAGGATGCTGAGAACAAGCAGATCATTTACTGGGATAAAAAGGCCCTGCTCAGCATGGAGCTGTGCACCTCAGAGCACGGGGAGGGCAGGAGGAAGGCAGGCTTTGAACTCAGCTGTGTTCTGAGACAGTGTACAGGCAAAGCCAGGCCTGTGCTTCAGCTACAGAAGGAACGAGCACAGGGCAACAGAGCAAGGGGATGTGCAGAAAGGTAAGGGTTAAGAGAAGAAGAAGGGAGGTTGTCTTGCCTGCAAATGATGGGACTGCTGTGAGGGGTATTTCATACCCCCTGACTCGGGAGCCTGGTGGGAGGAGGAGAAGCCCACCTGCCCATGCTTGGATGGTGCTGTGGGCCATCCCAAGGCCCTGGGATGGACACCTTTCCAGGCAGCCAGAGGCACTCACCTCATCCTGCCAGGCCAAAGTCACTCCAGGCTCCCACTGTGGGACACTGTGCCTTGCACTGATGGCACTGGCACCTCCTCCCTGGCTGCAGAGAACACCTACACACCTGGCTCAGGTGTTGATCCATCTGTGACACCCACCTGCACTCAGTGCACTTTAAGCTGAAAGAGGGTAGATTTAGACTGGACATCGGGAAGAAATTCTTCCCTGTGAGGGTGGGCAGGCCCTGGCACAGGTTGCCCAGAGAAGCTGTGGCTGCCCCATCCCTGGAAGTGTCCAAGGCCAGGTTGGATGGGGCTTGGAGCAACCTGGGCTAGTGGTGGAATGGGATGAGCCTTAATGTCCCTTCCAACCCAAACCATTCTGGGATTCACTTCCATCTGCAGCCAGGCTGAACACTGGGGCAGGGCTCAAAGGACAAAAGAAACAGGATAGGAATGAAAATGTCCACCACTGACTAAGTCAAACAACGGAATGTTCTCAAAGGGGGATGTGAGGGCACAGAGGAAGCCAGCAATGATGGTGCACCTGAAACTCTGGGTCTGCTGCAGCAAATTGTAACAGAACTCAGCGACACACTACTCAGAGAGACTGGACACGTGGTGCCAACATTTGGAACAGAAGGTGAAAAAATGATTCTGGCAACAAAATGCCCATGTCTGACCTCAGCAGCACCACAAGGCTTGTGGCTGGCTCCGAAGGAAAGGGCAGGGAAAATACAAGTGGTACATACCATGGCAGGGGTCCACCAGGAGATTGACCCAGCAGCTTCCCTACTATGGGGAAATCCTGATCTATCATGTGAGGGAAGAGAGGTCAGTCTCATGTACCTGGAATTCAGCAGATGTTAAAGAGAGCCACTGGCTGAGACTGAGAGCATGAACTACCAGAAGCCCTGTTCTGTGCACAGAAATCTGATTTGAGGGGAAAGGCAGCACTGAGAGACACATAAGGTTGGGGAGCAACTGCCAGTGAATCTGCTTGAAGAGCATTCTCAAACTCTGTCATTTAGTATTTTTATTTCAACCTTTGGCAGAAATGTTAGAGGTTTACTGATGAAATCTGCGGATGTCTTCCCACACCAGGCCAGACAAAGTGGTGTTTGAAATTAGGCAGGAAAGATCTATATAGAAGGAAGAACCAGTCAGGAGGTAAATCCAGCAGCCAAATGCAGATGTGCACTTGAAACACTGTCCCATGAGCTGGGAACCAGCAGGTGAAAACAGTAGATGAGAAGAACAAGGTATGTGACCAGCACAGGCTGATCATCACCTGTTACAAGGACACACTGACTGGAAGTGGCTGTAGAGATATTTCTTGTGACCATGGTGGTGCCAGTGCTGTGGCACCAGGTCCCCATGAGCTCCTCCCCAGAGGACTGGGTCACCCCGTGAAGTTTAAGTCAAACCAACACTGGCTGAGGAGAGCAGAGAGCATCCAAAAGGTGAGTTCCCCAGAGGGATACAACTGCTTTCCAACTAATTCCAGAAAAACGAGAACCAAGTTGAGCTAAAAGACAATGTTAAGACGAGGAGACAGATACCAAGTTGCCCAGGAATAAATTCTGGCTACAATATAGTTTCTAAATACTCAGCAAAAAACCTTGGAGCAGCCTCCAGTGGAAGAGCAAAATCTGTAACTCCGGAGTCAGTCAAAGCAACACCATGTGCTGGGGTGCAGCAGGGCCCAGGGCTCAGGGGGCCAGAAGGTCCTTCCAGTCCTGTGTTTTCAGGTGGCTCCAGGGCAGATCTACCCATTCAGAACCTTTCACAGCCCAGGCACAGCAATCAGCTTCCTGAATCCTTGCTGTTCCTGATGCACAACTCCACCTGTTTCCCCCTGTTTCCATGACCATGCCTTAGTTGGTAGGATGGAATGGCAGGACACAGCTGACCCAAGGGCTGCTGCAGACCTTCCTTCTGCCCCAAGCACACACACCAGTTCTCCACAGCAGCCCCAGGAGTGCTCCTGAAAGCCAGTTTGTTCTGGGAACTGAAAGCAGCTCCAAGCCCTAACCATTGGCCACTTACTGGAAGAACCAGCCCCATACAATCCATTCCCATCCTGTAGAGGAAGCAAGGCAGGACATGCAGAGCTGAAACAGCTCTGTGAGACCACAGCAGATTGACACTTGGCATGATTTAAGGATGTACAACTGCACTCTCATTCCTCCATGACCAGCCCAAACCTCCCAAAATCGCCGGTACTCTTTCTTTGCCCTCACCAGAAGCCACTGTAAAGTGTAGACAATAATGTTTATCATCTTCTTTCAGCTGCCTGAGAAAGGTGTTAGATGACCAGATGACCAGCAAGCTGTGAGACATCAGTATGAACTGCAGGACTAGGTGCTGTCACTTCCCTAGACTGTGGTTAATTTTTCTTTAACCCCTGCAACCATTCACGAGTTCCGGATGGGCAGGTCTCAGCACTGTGTCAGAACTGGTGCTGTGCCTGAGCTTCCCTGAATTCTGATTTACACTTCTCCACCCTGCCTGGCAGCCCAGCTCTGGGCAGAGCCACCACTGACCTCTCTTGGAGGCTGGAAACCCTGTGTGTGAGCTACAGGAGCCTCTCATCCATGCCCACACCTCTCCTCTCCCTCCCACTCTGGTTTTGCTCTATCCCTCAACAACAGGGTATCTCCACACTGAAACGTGGAGATTTCTTCTTTTTGAGGGTTCCCCAAGGGGCAACCTCCAGTCCCAATAACTGACCATGCTGCTCCTGTCCTTGAATTTCCTACAGCTCCTCTTCTCACAGCACAGCACAACTCCCTGCTCCTGGCCCTGTTGGCTCCAGCACAGCTCTGCTCAGCCGTGGAGGAAGCAGAGGATCATCCTCACTCTCCTCCTGCTCATCCCCTCCCCGAGGGTGCTCTGTGAGGTGCAATGAACAAAGCACTGTGGCATTTGGCAGTTGCCCCTACACCTCATGCTTAGAAACTTCTTAAACAGTTCTTTCCAAGTGCTTCATCCTTTTACATTCCAAACTCTTGCTTCTCTTGTCAGAGCCATAATTATCCAAAGGATTAATTTTGGAAAGATCTCAAACAACACAACACCTATTTGCTGACTGGGGAAGCAAAAAGCAAGACAGGAGAGGAGAGCAGCACTTGTCAACCACCTAAGAGGGTGCACATAGCTTTGATCCTCTCCACAACCAGCATTCCTAGAGCAGGAGCTCCCCCAGAACCCCCAGAAAACCCGGGGGGGGCAGTCAAGCCCCAGGACTGCTGCCACTACCCAGCACTGTGGGGGGAACTGCTGGACTTGTTTCCGAATAAGAGCAATTTCAGCCTGATGACCTGCACTGTGGCATAAACTGCCCAGCTGGGGTGTGCTGGTCAATGCAGCAGAGCATCAGCCATGGCAAGGTCAACAAAACCACCTCTGCCTCGGATTGCTGCATGAGCATCACCTGTGAAGGGCCACATTGTCACCGAGGGCTGGACGTGCTGGCAGCGGGTCCACGGCCACTGTGGCTCTAATTCATCCCTAATTACAGTTCACCTGCTGCATGTTATCACTCTCAGGCACTCTTTCACCTTACTCCTCACTGTGTGAAGTCACCACAAACAGATTACAGGGAGCAGGGAGGACTGGGGGACGAGGAGAGGAGGGAAGACAAGGAGACAGCACGGATGAGCGGAAACCTAGAGCGGAGATGGAAATCAAACTGACAGGCAGAAAATGCAGCTGGAATCCTGCACAACAAGAGCCCTGCGGTCATGTGCACGACACTGGGTGTGATGTAATGAACCCTGTGAGAGGGCCCTGGAACACAGCCCTGCCTCCAGAGATAGAGATAAAATCTGGGTTAAGACACGGAGCACTTGGGGTCCCTACAGCGCCGCCCCCGCCCCAGCTCCTACCTGGTAGATACCTGTCGTGGTCGTACTCGTGTGAGCGCTGCATGTGGCTGTTCTGAGAGAAAGGCTGGTTCCCAAAGAGGTTGTCACTGCGCAGATTGTGGCACAGCTTCTCCAGGAAGCGGAGGACGTAGGTGATACTGTTTACTGCTGGCAGGTTCAGAGTGTGCTGTTCCCGATCAAACACAGCTGGAGACAGAAACAAACAGAGCCCAACACGTGAACCCCCTGCCGAGGCGGAGGCTACGCCCAGGGCCGCGCAGCTCCTGGATCTCGGCATCGCTGGGCTAGGCTGGAGCCAACAACAGCCACTGCCTGGGGCTGGCACAGCGCCGGGACAGGCCGGGACCAGCCTGCTGCTCCCAGCGCCGGGCGGGCGGCAGCGCCGGGGCAGCCACGGGCGAGGGAACCAGACCTGGCTCTGCATGGGCTTAAAGACAGTTAAAAACCTCAAAAACTGGGGTAGTTCTTGTCTTTCCGTGAGGAGCTGTGAGAATCCCCCCCGTTGTGCCTCCTCCCGGGGCCGGGGCAGCGCAAGGGACAGTCGGAGGGGCAGGATGGTGCCCAGGCTGATGCCAGGGCTGCTCACTGCCTGCTCGCTGCCTGCTCCCACAGCTGTGCCCACAGGCCATGGGAACTGCTCTGCTCTGAGTCAGCCACCAGCTGCTGCTTCACTGACACAGATGTGTGGCAAGAAAGAGAAGACAGAACTCTTCTGTCTGCCCCTGGCCTGTGGCTGCACCAGGCTCCAGGACAGACATCTTCCAGCGAGAGAACTCTTGCAACAACCTCTCTGAAGGCAAAGTGCTGTGGGCCCATTCTCACCTGAGATGACCTCTCCCCCGTGGCCTTGTTTTAAGAAGGAGAAGACTGTTTTCTGATGATAAGCGCAGTCAATGCAGGCCTGTACTGCTTGCTGCAGGACAACAGAAGCTCGAGCTGGTCCAAAATGGTCTGGCAGCTGCTGAACCTTCTTCTTGTCTAGGTGGGGCCCAGTGCTGCCATTCTTGTTCAAGTAAATGCAAACTGCCAAGATGAGAAACGTGTTTGCCATTAACCCACTCAAGAAAGCAAGAAACAGATGCCTAAAATCCAACCTGAGAGACGCTGAGATTTTAAGAGTGTCCAATGGCTCACAGGGGGTAATCCACCACGACTGCCTGTCTGCATCCTCACAGTGGAGCTGCTTCTAGAGGGGAACTGCCTCCAAAACCTTCCTGCCTCATGCTCACCTTCCAAGCTGCTGCCGTTTCTCCCTGGTCAGGCTGTAAAGTGGTTCCCACACCAGCCAGGTCAGGTGGCCGTGGTGTTCAGAGGGGATGAAGGAATTATACCCCCACTTTTCAGGGGTTCCTACAGTGTTTCTTTTTTAGAGAAACTGAGTTCTTTAGGTTCCTCTGAAAACTGGCCACTTATATTCTGGGCAAACAGAGGGCTCAGCCCATATCCAGAGCTTGACTCAACATGTCAGAAGCAGCTTTGCATTAGACTTTCCTGGCCAGATTCATCCTCAGCTGCACTCACATCTGTAGCAGTGCACACACTCTTCACTGCTGTTCCTCCTCCCCTACTCCCTCCTCTCCCTGAGTGCCTTGACATCCTGGCTGGAGCTGGACAGATCACAGTCCTTTGGTAGCTGCTCTGCCCCCTGTGCAGCTCCAGCAGCCGTGCCTGGCATGGTCTGGGAGAGCTCAGGGGCTCACAAGGGTCTCTGCACACCCGAGTGCCCCCAGGCACGAAGGGCCATGAACAGTGTCCCTGGAGAGCTGTGGAGTCACCACCACGCACGTGGGAACTCAGGGAAAGGGGTCCCTGCACTCAGCAGGTGGCTGCAATCTTCCTACAACTTCATTATTTCCAAATGGACAGAGAGATAAACAAACAACTGATCTGGACTCAGTGCCTCTCCCAGGCCAGCCCTCCTGGAATTGTAAGGATTGCTGGTTTACAGGCTAGGAAGAAATGGGACTCTCCTGTGGTGTCACTGTCTGCCTGCTGCAGTTCCTAACTGTGCAATCCTGTCAAGAACGTGGTCTGAGACCCTTCCTTACCTGTGGGAGCCTGCATGGCAGAGCTGGGGATTGTAGCAGCGTCCTGGGGCACAGTGCTTGTGTCTGGCTCTGGGGTACTGGTGGTTGGAGAGGTGGGTGCTGGGTTCAGCAATGTCCTAGGTTTCCTCTGCAGAAAAAGAGGAGATATTTCTCCTTTTATCCCTGCTCTCCTTTACCACCCGTGATCACTACACTCTCTCCTCTGCATCCAACAGACAAGGCACTGTGGAACATGACACATTTCTGATGGTGATGACGGGGTGTCCTAAGAATGTAGTAATCAATAGGTGTGTATTTTATAAACCACAATCCTGACAAATAACAAGCCCGAGATCTGCCACCTCAGTTTGACTCGGATCAGCCACACACGAGGACAGGAGAGCTTATTCCATCGTCTGGCCACCCTGCCGTGCTCCCAGCATCTGCCATGCTACTCCACAGCCAATGCACTTCCAAAGACACAGCTTCTTGATGGAAATGATCTTTAGGACACAGACATTCTCTACAGCTCTGGGGTTGGACTCTGAGGATGCTCCCAGCCCACATACCCCTCAGGTCTCCTACTTGCTGCAGTCACACAGCCAGAGGCTGAGACAAACGTGCACAAACACACGCATGCACCATCCCGTGGCAGGACCTGCAGCACCTGCTGTTCACCCGCCTGCATCAGCATCAGCTTTTACCTTACTGCCAGGCTTGGGGCCTCTCTTTCTGGGGAATTTCAAAGGCTCCACTGACTTGGAGGGTGCAGGCATGGGGTGGTGGATTAGCGCTTTGGTCGTTCGACCACGCTTCTTCCCTGTTTTGCGACGCCTTTGCCCTTGTTGATGCCCCAAAACAGTCTTTGTGCTACTGTGCATGCTAGGTTTCTCCGAGTTTACTTCGGAGGCAGGTAAAGGGCTCTTTGGAATCACAACTGAAATAAAAAGAGAAAAAGCAAATATAATTAAATCAGGCGAGAATCAAAACAAGAGCAGCCTCCATCTTTATACAGTCACATGGAAAAACCTGGAGCACTCACAGCCCCCTGAGCGGGGGCACTGCCCTCCATGCCGGAATAAAACCAAACACACAGATCCCTGGCTTAGCACTCGAGCTGTGGGACACTGGGGCTTGGCCTGCATGGGCTGAACTCCAGAAGGATCACGTTTTCAGCCATACCTTCCTTCCTGAAAATAACTGGCACCTACAGCTCTTCCTTCTGCGAGTGGTGACCTGCCAGCGACCACGTAAAAGGCTCTGAGAGCATTCCTAGGGAAGGATCAGCCAAGACCTGCCTGAGAGTCAGGGCTGTGCTGGAAATCCCCTCACTCAAGGCTGAAGTCAAATTTGTTCTGTCCCTAAATTTCCAGCGAACTGCAGCGGAAGGGACCAGCTCCACCCTTGATGGATCACTGCTCCTGTAATAGCTCATCTCAGCTGGACCAGCTGCCTTCTCCTCTCAGGTACTGCCAGAGGCAAGTCTGTTCCTTCTTATCTTCTCACACTTTCCATGATAAAACCAGGTTTCTGGTAAATTTGCCCATAAATCCTCTGAATTTGGTCATTCATCTTTCCCAAGTCCTGTTAAAGGCTAGAGACGAGCTGGCCCAGCTCAGTAGACCAGTATTTCCTTCAGTTTTAAAATTCTACCAAAAAGAAAGAAATAAACATCCTCCTGGATATTGAAAAATGCAGAGAGACCTTTAGGATATCTTGTTTCTCACACGTGGAAACCTCCATGTGTATTCAACATAGGGGCAAGGAGTTAGAAAGACACAAACACTTTTGAAATGAGGGGCTTTGCAGTTAAGGAAAAAAAATCTTGGCCAAGGAAACAGAGTGAAATAACAGATTGATACCAGGATGGCACAACTGTGGGTACATACAGAGATTTTTAAGGTTTCTTTAATGAGGATTTTATGAGCAGTTACTGTAAGCAAGGACTCATTCCCTTGGCACAATGAAGTGCCCCATCCCTGCAAGTGTCCAAGGCCAGGTTGGATGGGCTTGGAGCACCCTGGGCTAGTGGAAGATGTCCCTGCCCATGGCAGGGAGGAGATGAGCTTTGAGGTCCCTTCCAACCCAAATAACGTGGGGCATGCAGGATCCAGCCCCATTCTGCTTGTCATGTGGGCAGGGTAAGATTTAGTTTGAATTTCATTTCCTTGCTTTTGTGCATTAACATTCTGTATCAGAAGCTGGGAAGAAGCACACAGTCATTCAGAATCTGTCTGACTTCCCAAGTAATGACCTTTTTGTGTCAGGCTGATACAAGGAATTGTGGGAGAAACAGGGTTTTACTGCTCCTTGTCTGAAATGTTAATATTAACAGCAAGGCTTCTTGGCTGGTAAGAAAATGAATAAGATAGCTCAAGTGCTTCTTACAGCTGATGGTTTTCCAGGAGAGTCAGTGTCACCTGCTACAGGTGACATCTGGCACTGAGCAGGGAGGAATGGCACACGTGGGACAGCTGCTGATCATGGGAACTGTGGGGGCTCTGGCCTCACCTGTGCATGGCTGAAATGTTTATATTACAGGATTTATCAGAATCCCCCAAGTTGACAGAACAAGGATAAACACAAGGAAAATGCAACAAGTTGCCCAGAGAAGCTGTGGCTGCCCCTGGATCCCTGGGAGTGTCCAAGGCCAGGTTGGACGGGGCTTGGAGCAATCTGGGCTAGTGGAAGGTGTCCCTGCCCATGGCAGGGGGTGGAATGAGATGGGCTTTAAGGTCCCTTCCAACCCAAACCAGTCTGTGACTGTGTGATTCTAAAACATTCCACACTTCAAAGGAAATGTCAAACATCAAAGGGATGTGGAAGCCAAGGTGGGAGGCATTTCATCTGAGATCTGCACAATGCTCAGTGTCTAAACCAAGTGCCACAACAAGGTTTCTCTAACCTGGAGGAGAAACTGAGGATTCTACAGACAAGCTGTGAAGCAAACCCACGCTGATCTCAGTTTCTCCAGTGACAAACCCACAGAAAAGGTGCATTTGGGAAGCTGGGGTGCAGCAGGCAGAGCAGCTGGACTGCACCCTTGGCTCCCAGGCTGGGACCATGTCGCTGGGAACCCAGGGCCAGGGAAAAAGAAACTGCTGCCAGGTGAAGTCCTGGGGTGCAAGCTCTCACTGCATAATCTTGTAATAAAAACTGACTTCATCTTTTGGTGAAATAAATGCAAGAAACATCTGTTGCCCACTTCAGCTGTAAAGACAACACAGGTAATGGCAATTTGCCAGGCTTAAAGAATTCGTTTTGGGTTTTGGGCAATAAAAGCCTGTAACAGGGTGCAGTTAGATCCCATGATGGGACACCTCATGTCATTCAGCCACCCAGAGGAGTTCCCACTGTGCCTGTGCCCTTGGCAGCACACCCCTAGTCCCTGTCACAGCCACAGCTCCTGCAGGGACGGGGCTGTTCAACAGAGCAGGTGAAATGACAGGTAAATGTGCAGCCAGCTCAGGGCAGAAACACAGCCTGTGCCCCAGATGGGTGCTGTGTGCCCGGCAGTGGTGCTGAGCACAGCCCTGAGCACAGCCCTGGGCACAGCCCTGAGCACCCTGCACAGCAGGCACTGCTGCTCCCCCTGGGGCTGCTGCCACCAGACTGATGCAATGCACATTTTTCTGAGCCAGAGTGCTTTAATGAAATGAGGTCTTATACTCCCACGATCCAACCCCACTCAGCAGATTGCCCGGATTTTTTGTTGGATTTTAACCAGGCTGTGAGTCAACAACAGCCGGTGCTAATTCCTTTCTCTTGCCCTCCCCGATGCAGAGCTGCACTCGCTCATCCTGAGGAGACACCACGAGCTCCAGAGCAGTCATCCCACCAGCTGCACCCACACAGCCACGGGGCAGCCCCCAAAACACAGGGGTACTGCTGCCCACGCTCTGCCTCATCCCCCAGGCACTGGGGTGACTGGATGCTTCCTAAAGAAGCCTGAAGTTTCCTGTCAGCAGCCTGTTATTTTCCTGCAGGATTTCAAGTACTGCTGTCACATGGACATGGACTGGTCCAGAAGGACAAGACTGCTCTGGAGGGAGCAGTGCTGAGCACTCAGCCCTGTCTGCACCCAACTCAGCACCCACAAGAGCTCCAGAGGTGGAAATAGCTGTGCCCAGCAAGCAGGATTATCTCACAGCTCCAACCACTGCTCACATCTCCTTAACTGTGAACAGCTTCCATTTACTGCAACTTATTCAGATTATTACTGCTTCCTAATTAGTAAGAATCTAAAGCTTTTAAAGAGTGTCCAAAGAAGGGCCACAAAGATGCTGAAAAGTCTGGAGGGGCCACACAAGAAGCAGCTGAGGGCACTTGGTGTGTGCAGCTGGAGCAGAGCAGACTGAGGGCAGAGCTCAGCAGGGGCTGCAGCTCCTCCCGAGGGGCAGCTCCGATCTCTGCTCTGGGGGAGCAGGGACAGCCCCCAGGGAATGGCTGGAGCTGTGTCAGGGCAGGCTCAGGGTGGATCTCAGGGAAAGGTTCTTCCCCCACAGGCTGGTTGGGCACTGAACAGGCTCCCCAGGGCAGTGGGCACAGCCCCAAGGCTGCCAGAGCTGCAGGAGGGTTTGGACAACGCTCTGAGGGACAAGGTGGGATTGTTGAGGTGTCTGTGCAGGGCCAGGAGTTGGACTCAATCCTTGTGGGTCCCTTCCAGGTCAGGATCTTCTGTGATTCATCTGGAGGCAGTGCCAGCCCAACAGTGAGCAGCTGCCAGAGACATCTCCACTTCCTTCTTCCTTGTAGAAGCCACTGAGAGGAGCCACATTTTCAGAAAATCAAGCAGGGCCGTCTTAAAAAATCCACAGTTTGCTGTTTTGCTGTTGCTGAGAAAAGCAGTATCTCTCTGCCCCACAGCTTTGGTGCTCTCCTGAGCTCTGAGGAATCTCAACAACTCCAAAGCTCTCCTTGCTTTAGGTGAGGAGTTAAGCCAGCAGCCTCCAGAGATCCCTTCTGACCTGCATTATTCAGTGATCTGAACTCACAGTTAATCATTTCAGCTCATTAAGGGAACAGAAAACTAATCAACAGAAGTTTTCTGCTGGCTGAACTGTCTTGTTTTGGGTCATGCAGGCATCCAGCACCAGGGCAGACATGGAGGAGTGGGTTGGCTCCTTGCTGGGCCGGCTGGCATCGGATCCATTTGGCACAGTGAGAAACATTCCCCTGAACATGCAGGACCAAAACCAGCTGAACTCAGAGCCAAAGAAAAGTCAGACACCACTCATGGTGTCATTGATCACTGAAGGATCAGTTTAAACAACAATTCTGAGCGTCCTGCAGAAACCAAGTGAATTCAGGGTTTCAGGCCCTGCTTCCCAATGCCAGTGCACCCTCTGCCAGCTGACACACGGCACCCACACTGTGACTCCAGCTGTGACCTACAGGAGGCTCTCACAGTTGCCATCCACACACAAGAGTAGTCAGAGGAAGCAGCATTTGTCACCCATCAGCTTATCTCAGGCTTGGCACAGCTTGAAGAAGACAAAATTATGTGCTTGGGACATGAATTACAAAGCTGAAACCATGTAGGAAAATATGGAACAGAAATAGTGAAGTTGCAGAAGGGTTTCCTGCCTTTCTCTACTATTTACCAGCCTCATTTACCAACAGGTGCTGGAGCCCAAACCCCAAATCTCCATTTTCTGTGCCAAGAGCTCTGTACTCTCAGATGCAGTTGTAGCTCCCACACTGCTCCCTGGAGACCTCAGTAGTGACCACTGCAGTGTCCTGAGGGGCAGGGGTGGTTTCTGAGCAGCCTGAGCACGCCACTCATGCCCATCCCAAAGCCCCTCTGCAGGTTGTCCTGCAGGCCACCCCTCCAGTGGTTCTTTGGTGCTCAGCTGCCCCTTGTCCCATCTCAGCACTGCACAGGAATCAAAGACATGGGTTACAGAGACACCTTTAAGGAAAGTAAATTTGCCAGAG